ATACATATACATATATGCATATATACATAGTCACACCACATATATATATATATACATATATATATATACATACATATATACATATACTTATTTATATACATATGTTATATATATATACAATTATATATAATTATAATTGTATATATATACATGTATATTCGTACATGTATCGTACACTCACTCATACATAGACATGTACAAACTGCGAAATATTGTTGAGGAAGGGGACTCTAGCTCAGACTAGCGCACCTTTATAGCAGGGATCCCTAAATAAGGCATGCAGTACCACTAATTCAAGATCCCCCAATCTCTTCCCTACCCTCGTCTTTCGAGTTTTTCGAATCTTCGAGAGCTTACAGTGCAATATAACATCGAAACCTGCATGTATGACCGTATGATAGAAGCACACCGTATCAGGTTTCATGTGCTTGAGGCCTGCAGGGCACAGCTCTAGCGGGGCTGAGAGCCTCCACTCTGACTCCGAAGCCTCAGCCATACAACGCGACGCAAGCGAAAGAAGCCTTTGAAAGGAAGGGGGCGCTACTTAAGATTGAGGAACTTGTCATCAAGCTTGAGAGTCGACTTGCCTAGAGCATAGACACAGCCCTGAACCCCAAAAACCATCGGACCGACCCTTGAGAAAATCAAACCTGTTAAAGATGCAGCGCAGACCTTCTGTGGTTTTTGTCCACCTGCTACCAAAGGTCCGTGGGCACGCAGACTTAGACCAAGATCATGGCCAGCTCAAGGACTAACCGATGTGCGCCGCTGGTACTTGGGGCTTAGGGTTTATAGGGTTTTAAAATTTCGAGGGACTTGCTTTCTTTCAAGGGTTTGTAGGGAGGCCCGAAAGCTCTTGAACACTAAACCGAAGCCTGCGACTGAAATCTGAAATCTCTTGGGATCCCCGTGGAAATCCCAAAGTCAACGTCGTGGACGATCTGTTGGGGGTTCCGTTTGTTCGTCAGGGTGCAAGCCTGGATGCCTTGCCGACTGTTTCGGTCTAGCGCGAACGGATGCGAGTCGAGGTTTGTGGGGGGAGTCGGGTGCTCTGCCTGCCGACTTGCAAACGTGCAATGAAGTGTGAATTCCTGGACTCGAAGTTCTGTTCGTGGGCTCCGTTGTTTAAGTTTCTGAGACGTCTTCGCTTGACTCGTTGGCTTAGGCTCAGCCTCTTTCGAAGTTGCATGTGAATGCGGTTGCGCCTGAACAAGCAGAAACTGCTTCATGCAGGCCTCTGAAGCCCCATATCGGCGAGCCTGTGTTAAATCCTTCAACCCTCAAGGTATCGCTCCTCGACCCTTCGTTTCGATACTCTGCATTTCCAGGTTCAACCATGAAAGCTGCAAGCAATCCTTTCTAGGGCCCTCGAACCAACTCTCAGACTCATAGTCCTCCAGAGAGGGGTTTCATGGGATTGCAAAGCCATGAGCGCGACGATGTGGGAGCGCCTCGTGGCGGACGAGGCCTGCCACTTCGTACCACCGCTTAAGAACAATTGCAGTGCAAGCTACAGCAGCTAAAGCAAGTGGAGCAATTGTAAACAAAAGCCGCAGATTTTGTGGTCATAATCGGAGCCCTTATCATCACAACAGGGGGAAAAGAAGCACATCACACCAATCACGGCAACAGTGATTGGTCTGTTGCACCGTTAACGTTGCTGTTGTCGTTGTCATGAGTATCGTCCTAATGGTAATATACACAGTGCTATTGTTGTGGTAAGGCCCAAGCTGGGTGAGGAGAAGTGTAGATAGGTTCGATCAGGTTGTGGGCGGGCAGGTTTAGGATACATGGTCTATGCTAAACCCTAAACCCTCAAACCATGAGACTGGTACGACTGCCACAAATGCACGCTGCAAGGGCGTGCTATACTGCAAACTGTAGGGTTCACCACCGCGCATGGAACTTGCACCTCAGAAACAGGCGGGATGTTGACGGCGCTGGGCCGTTCCGGAGAGGCCTAAACCTAAACCCTCAAGATATATCGGAGAGGTGAGCTGGAGATAATCGACGAAGATGGAAAGTAGTAACTACAGTACTCGGGCGAGTATTCCAATGCCTCTGTAGTTTCTGTCTTAAGCCCCCTATACTACCATAGGTCGCAGATGACAGAGCTTGAAAAGCAGCCCAGACCTCAGCCGGGGAGGTGCGGCTGCTGGATTCACATGGCCAAGACGCCGAAGGTGTCGACCCCGGGGATTCTTCAGAGTGTTTCGAGCCGTCGACCGGCTGCAAACTCAATCTGAAGAGTTGGAGCGACGCTTTGTCCCGTGCTCGCAGGCCAGACCTCGCCTCCGGAGGAACCTGCCGCAGAGCCTTCAGGCATCCAGGGGGACTCTGCTCGTATCTGACCTGTACACCAGGATGGAACACAGCTTTGCTCACTCCTTTCTGTCAGCCGGTTTGGTCCAGATGCGGAGAGCCTACAATAAGCCAGAGCACCCGCAGGCGCACAGCAAAGTGCTGCTCCTTCAGCTGCCGAAGATAAGAAGGGTGCCGACGGTGCCATGGCGAGCATGGTTCTGTGGTGATGGTGGTGAGCTTTGGTGATGTGTGGTGATAATGGGCAGCAGTGGTGGTGACGGTGGCTGCGGTGGTGTGACGCTGTACTTGTAGCAGAGTACCGATATTATCCCCGCATGTCTTCAGACCACAGCACCGAAACCAATCAGATCAGGAACGGGTTTCCGAGCGATCCTGGACCTGGAGAGCCTGAAGCAGCCGCCAGAAGCCCGGCATCCTCTTCGGACCTTCCCCTGGCAGGTAGGCACAGAGTGCGAAGGGATGTGCTGCTCTTCGCACACACAAGCCTTCAAAGTAAAAATCATGAAGCGCCTGAGCGCCTTGTCGATCAAGCTCTCCTCAGCCAAAGCCGAAGCTGAATGTATCGACACGGCCATTTCTCCCATGTCGAAGAAGAGGGGCACCCGAGCTGGGCAAGCCAGAGAGTTGGTATAGTTCTGCTACCCAGTTGCAACCAAGGTTCCTCGGCATCCGCCACTATCCGGCTGGGGGACACTGGTCCTGCACTAGAACGAATTCTGTTTGGCACGAGGCTCTGTACTATGTGTGTATACCTATATATATACATATATAATATGCGTGTGTCAATGTATGATTACTATAAGTGCGACTAGACACTTATACAGTATACAAGACCCTCCCCACCTACTCAGGATATGAGTTTCGAAATGGTCACTCCACGAAGTTTCCCAGCATCCCTGTAGAAGAGGGCGAGACCGACATCGAAGCAGCGTACCGGGTAGCCTCAGAGCGGCGCACTGCCGGCCGTGAGGCCTTCGGGGATGGGACCAGCGTGGTCTCTGCCCAGGCAGCTGTGGACGCTTGGGGCCAGGGAATTCTGGCCCTCCACCGCCTCCGGAATCTGAACAAGAGGGCTTGTGCTGAGGGCGCTTCAACCCCCTTGGAGTCCCCGTCGGCGGAGGACGTCAACGAGTTAGACCTGGTGCTCAGGCTAAACATCGCCCAAGCACTGCTGAAACTGAAGCAGTATGAATGTGCCGTGAGTCACTGTGATGCTGCCCTGGCACCTTGGCCGCCATAAGCATTCTGACATCCACATGAATATGCTGAGCCCTTCACATATCTTTACATCACGGCACTCAGCCTGCCACACGCACTCAAGTCAGTTATTTGGGGAGCATGCCCCCATAAATTCCACTAAATTCCTAATTCCACCTCCGTCAGCCCGCGAATGAGCTAACTCCCCGAACCCTTAAACTTGAACCCGGCGGCCGTGACAACCCTAAATCCTCCAAAGCATCCGAGCCCTACACCCCGAGCACACTAAGGAGATCAATCCCCGCAACGTCAAAGCCCTCTGGCGGAAAGCTAAAGCTGTGTGGGGTCTCCGCTGCCCCGGCGAGGCTTTGCAGGCTCTTGAGGAGAGTCCCGGGTATAGGGCTTATAGGGTTTTAAGTGGGGAGGACCTTCTGGTGTTAGCCTTATTCTCGACTCTCCGGGTAAGGATGTCAGGAGCAGTCTTAGTCTTGCAGACCGTAAGCCTCTCAAGTTCAGGCTTGCCGGCGCACGGGTACAGCTTTAAAGGGTGAAGACTTCTTCGGATCATGGTCTTGCGTTCGAGCTCATGTTCGTGGAGTTGGGTTTCCTGGTTCACCGGTGCTTCGGGTGGGGCACTTGGCAGACTTGGCGGCTTTCACAGTCAACCGTCACTCTGTAGAGCCTATAGCGAAGAAGGCCAGCGTGACGCATCTGCAGGAGTAACCGGGTGCCCCCAGCCCGACCCCGATGTTGAATCCTAACAGAGAGCGACTCAAGTAATAGATGGGCCTCAAGAATTGCAAATACTATGTTGGGGCTCATTAGTATGATATGCTATTTTGATTCTTAGGGCCCCTTGATATTCTAATTCTAATTGCTAGGGCCCCTAGATCATCCCTGCTCTCAGCATCTTGTGGCAGGACTTCCTCAGTGTGGACCCCGGGAATCCGGCCGCCCGGGCCATGCTCAAAGAGATTGAGGCCGAGGAGCAGAAGCGGAAGGCAGAAAGCGGGGATCCCTAAACCCCTGCTAGGAGGAAAAAGGTGCTTTAAAGAAAAACCCTTAACCCCAAACCCTAAACCCCAAACCCCAAACCCTAAACCCTAGCTTGAAGCAGCATAGATTAGACTATTTTGGAATATACTAGAACATGCTAGAGGATAGCAGGAGAAGCCAGAAAGTTGGAACCTTGACTTTCCCTATGCCCCTCAAAGGTCACATCCTAGCACTGATCATCCTGAAGCCATGTTACAACTTTCTGGGGTTCACTGTATTGTTGTATGGTGTAGTTACGTAGAGTATCGTTTAGTATAGTATAGTATAGTATAGTATGGCATGGTATGGTATAGTACTACATAGTATAGTATGGTATAGTATGGTATAACACACTATAGTGCATGATCACTATAGTACAGTATAGTTTAACATTTATATGTGCAGAAAGGAATGGTGCGAAGCCAAGCAGGCACCCAAAGCAGGTTGAAGGCTCCTGAGCTTTCCGAGATCTCGGAGAGGACCAGGTGGCTTTCAGCCTGCCAGGATACTTGTCACCGAAGCCTCGGAAGCACGTTTGCTGAAACAAGAGAAGCTGCAGCCCGTGCATGCAACACACTAGCTGCCAGAGGTGCCATAGATGCCACGGTTTGGGCAGAGAGTCTTGCAGCTCCAATCCGAAGCTGCAGCACTTCCGTCTACAACAGTTTCCGTGCATACTTCATCCGCGGCTCTACCTGTGACTCTTGCGCTTGTCTGACACGGTAGCCAGTACTTTGCGCAGCATGTTCAGCCAGGGATGAACCTTACGACCTCACTGCGCCTGACGAGATGTGCAGGCAAAGCGCGTGGGTCCTGGAGCTGCGCTGCGAACGGCCCCACGACCTTCCCAAGCTCCGGCTGCAAACGATGCCGCTGAAGCTATGGGCGCCTCTAGGGCCACAGAGCCGAGCGAGACGGCGAAGGCTGTTCGGGAGTTTTGAGGGCTTTTATTCAGATTGGCAGAAAGTCCTCTCGGGCTGTCTGAAACACAACAATTACAGACAAATACATGCACGTGCCAGCATCAATACTGATACACACCTACAAGGTGCATATGCACACTCAGACGGATCAACAAGAATCGTGTAGAGAGAGGGGGAGATGTAGCACTCATAACCCTGTTCGTCCTGTGCTGCATCCCTCGAAAGCATGCCGCAGGCACCGATGTGGAGCTGCTGTCGGAGGAAGCCAAAAGCTACATAGACCCGCGATGCCCAAAGTGGCTGCCGAAAAAGCTGGAGTTCTCAAAAGGCTACCCCGGGCTACCCCTGACCCTCAGAGAGGTAGGATGGCAACTGGTGTGCGACCCCTGGCTGTTCCAAGCAAAGAACGTGAAGGAAGCAGACCTGCCAGTACGACCTACCAATCCTTGAAGGCAAGGTCTAGGTACTGGGCCTCCAAGCGATTACCTCCGACTGAGCCTTGGCCCTTCGAGATCCCTTTCCAGGTATTGCCCATGGCTGTGGATCGAAGGCTGCCCGCAAGGCTCAGAAGGCGATCCCGGGATCTTTTCAGGTGTTCTTCGTTGGTGTGTGTTTTGGGTCTTTGGGGGTAAAGGGTAGGTGCATCCAAACATTCGCCTACAAACAACAGCTGTGAGTTTAAACATATAGGGGTGTATGTTATGTGCATGCATACCTAATTGCATGCATGCATGCATGCATGCATGCATGCATGCATGCATGCATGCATGGAGGTAGGTAGGTAGGTAGGTAGGTAGGTAGGTAGGTAGGTAGGTAGGTATGGGTGTGTGTGTATGTACATGTACACATGTAGATGCAAACGTAATATGTAAATTGTAATGTGTATGTACATATGCATAGACAGGGTGCGCGCATATGTGTATATGTATGTGTATATATATATATATACATATATGTATACAAACATCTGTGTGTACAAATAAATAAATAAACATATATATATATATAGGTGTGTGTCTGTGGATGTATGTATGCATATGTATATATAGATATATAGATATATGTGTATATATACATACATACATACATACATACATACATACATACATATGTATGTAAGTGTGTATTCATACATGCATACATACGTACATACATACATGCATGCATATATATATATGTATATATATGTATATAAGTATATAAGTATATATGTATATATGGATATGGATATGTGTATGTGTATGTGTATGTATATGTATATGTATATGTATATGTATATGTATATGTATATGTATATGTATTCTGTGTATGTATTATATACAGGGCCGGGGGAGTTAGGTTTGAGATGTTCAAGAGGTTTGCGCTAACGGCTTAGACCTGAGGCTTATGTTAGTCAGGATTGCGTGCCTTGAACAATATTGGGCCTTGGCTGCAGGGGTATGGCCCAAGCGACGGTCTGCTTTTAGTGTTTAGAGTTGAGGGTTCGTGCTGTGCAAAATGCATGATGCTGCATTGCTCGGCCTCCTCTGCTCTTATGATCCTTCTTCTGCCACGTCGGCATTCCCCCCCGTCTCTTTCCAAACCCAAGGACAGGCTCGCAACATTGTCCTACAGTGGATGCCCTGATCCCTGAACCCGACCTGAACTGCAGCGTTTGCTGTCTTACGTCAGCTCTTCTACAGGCAACACAGGCCTCCCAACAAGGACTCAGATTCTGTTCTCCTGGAAGTTCGTAGATGTCCTCCAAACAACTCAGTGAAATTCAAGGAAGCAGAATGAACCTCCCGGCTCACTCACAAGGCCCGCCGCCGCCCTCAGAAGCGGCGTGTAAGTCGGGGCTCCACGCCCTCCTCCCCCGAGACCAGGGCAGGCCGGCGTGGGGCGGCTCAGGTCACGGTATAACGGGGCACAGTAGGGTACAGGCTGCTGTTTCAGTCGTGGTGTATCTTCAGTGGCTGGCAGGAGCAATCGAGAGCCTTCAGGGTTTAGAGGCTTGGAGTCGCATTGCAGTGGCTGCTGGCAGCAGCAGCAGCAGCAGCA